GTTATTATGAAGCAATTGCTACAAAAAAAAAATCCTGAAAGGACAGGAAATATCCTGCATAACACAAGGTAACAGCTGCTTGCCTCTATATTTATTCCGCAGGGAGGATTGCCAGTACAGTGCCATGACAGCCCTCCATTAAAAAGAAACTACTGAGGATAAATGTGTACTAGAATAGATGCTGAAATATGTACAAGAATAGATGCTAAAATATGCATCACTCTCTCAAGTAAAATTTAATGGAAACAAATGTAATACATTCAAAATATTGTTGAGAGCATTTTTACAACTACATTGAATATGTGCTGAGTTGACAGTGAAGGTTTTGGGTGGATAAAAGAATAGCTTGTGCATTAGCCTTCTTGTCTTCACAATCATGGAAGATGTCAGAAAGATTAATTTCCAAAGCAGAGGAAGACCAGTCAAATGGAGAGCCCTAAAGATGGAATTCAGTTACATTTACTGGAAGGGGATCTATGAGGAATCCAAGATTATATAGATACTTCAAATGACCTAGCTTTGAAAATAATTATTTTTTATTTAAAAGATCTGTTCCCTTTCATTTTTTCCTTCTACCCAGCACAGTTATTTCTTGACTTATGAGGTGAGGCAGAAGGAACAGGGATTATTTAGTCCAGAGAAGAGAAGACTAAGAAGGGATTTAAAAGCAGTCTTCAACTACCTGAAGGGTGGTTCCAAAAGAGGATGGAGCTAGACTGTTCCCAGTGGTGGCAGATGACAGAACAAGGAGCAATGGATTCAAGTCACTGCAAGGGAAGTTTCGGTTAGATATCAGGAAAAACTCTCTCACTAGGATGGTAGTAAAACACTGGAATATGTTACCCAGAGAGGTTGTGGAATCTGCATCCTAAGAATGTTTTAAGACCTGACAAGACAAAGCCTTGGCTGGGATGATCTACTTGGGGATGGTCCTGCTTTGAGCAGGGGGTTGGACTGGATGACCTCCTGAGGTCCCTTCCAACCCTAACGTTCTATGATTCTATGATATGGTTACTGGCTTCTTATGCTTGTTCTGCTTTTAAAATAAATAATTTTGGTGTCTGTCTCCTTACTGGTTGCCTGTGAAAGGAGTAACTTTTGGGCAGATGATATTCCAGGCTAACTCTCTTTGGGGTGAGTGACAGCATAGTGGGAAGAAACTCTGGGTTCAGGGAATCCCCCACAGCCTTCTCTAGTTTGCATACTTCCTGAGACTCTGACACTAGGTACAGACATTCAGAAATCCCGAGGCAGATTTAAACTAACTCAGGCTGGTTTCTCTAAGTGGACTAGGTTAGTTTGTGAATGAACAGAAGACACATTCACCCTTTGGTGGGGGTGGGCACAGACTGCCTACACTAGCTGAGGCCAGCAGGTTGGAGGTGCTCCTGCATGCCTCCTAGCATGCCTCGCCTGTTCCCCAGTCTGCCAGAAGTTCCTGAGTGCAGCTGAAAGGGTGGGCTACTGGCTGCCAGTCACAAGGAAGCACTCCTTCCACACGGCCTCCAGCCAGGCGAGGGGCAGGGGGGAATGCTGGCATCTGTGTCCCTGCATCTATGTCCCTGCATGACAGAGCAGCAGGATCAAGATCATGAACAGGATTCATGCAGGGAGACAGACACCAGCATTCCTGACTTTTACCCCACCTGGCTGTGCCTGAGAGCTGGCTGGAAGCAGGAGGTAGAGCTGGGGAGAGATTCTGTCTTGGTTCAGGTCTGTGACAGCCCAGGCTGGGTCCATGTGGCAAAACCCCCACCAGATTGCTGCTGACAGCTGACTGGAGGCAGTGGATAGGACTGAGGAGAGATTTTGTGTTGGCTCGGGCCTGTGACAGCCTGTGGGTAGGACCTCCCTGAGAGGTGGGAGCTAGCAAAAGTTTATAAAGACACCTGGGATGCTGATGCTTGCTTAGGTCAAGTGACCTAACTTGATTCAATAGGAGAGCTGGTATAGAAGTTCTATACACCAGACTAACCTCATCCATAGAGTCATAGATGTCAGGGGCTGGAAAGGACCTCACGAGATCACTGGGTCCAGCCCCCCTGCATGTGGGTAGATGCTGTTGCCATGAAGAGCCCCTGAAGATGCCTCTTGCCAGAGATGAGTGGTGGACGCCTTCAGCCCCAGTTGGTGTGTAGTATGATGCATGGGGTGAGACCCTGGGAGCTGTGCGAGGCAGCTTGCATCTCCAGCCACTCAGTGCACATGGCGGTGCATGGAGCTCAGACTCTGGCAGCTGCACGAGGCAGCTTGGGTCTGCAACCCCCAGCATGAGGCCAGGAACCTAGAGCTGGCAGCATGGTGCAGCACAGGCCAGCGAGACCCTGACCCTGGGAGCCGCTCAAGGTAGCTCAGGTCCACCATTTCCTGTCACATGGCCAGGACTCGCATGCAGCTGGTCCCAGGCAGGGACCTGGGCCTTGAAACCACAGCAGGCAGCCTGAGCCCCAACCATGAGCAGCAGGCAGAGCCCTTGGTGCCCAAAGTGGGGCACAGGGCAGCAAGGGGATCAAAGGCTCTACAGGAGCCAGAGGCCTGCATGCGTGTCAGCTGAAAGAAACCTTGGCTGGGGTGACAAGGACATCACTCATTGGAGCTGTGAGCTTTCGGGGAAAGGGTTCCCACAGGTAAGGAAGCCCCTGGACGGGCTCTGTGGGGAAAGCATCCCTGGCAAGCCCACAAGGGGCTGAGAGGGTCTGGGGCCCCTTCCTTCTCCCTTTTTTTTGGAGCAGTGCCTAGGCTCCTAGCATCAAAGGGGAGTCTCCAGTACTCACAGTGACACTGATACACTAAAGGGTGTGCAGGCGCCTCATATTTTGTAGATAGCACCTTATATTTTGTTATTTTTAATGTGAGTTGTTGTTTAACTGTTGTATATTGTATATATATTTACATGTCTTGTCGAACCCCTTGTTGATTACCACCCCACCATGGTTTGCCAATATTTATTTGCTGTTCACCTATATTTACTTGTTGGTTATTTGGACTTACCTGCGCTTACCTGTTTTAGATCAGTTACTTATCTGTGCTGGGTTTAAAGCCATTGGTGGTGGTATAATTTCCTACTCACCAATTATAGAATATAGCCTTATATGTAAAGTGTATAGATTGTATATATTTATTAATATCACTTTTTAGGTTTTGTGGGTGTGTGTATTATATTGAGGGATGGAGACATATATATGTGTGTGTGTGTGTATGTATATGTATATTAACAAACCTGTATACAGTTCAATTATTTTTGTCCTGGACTGACTCTATACAGAACAGAGGGAACAAGCCGGTATTGCATATCCTTCTCACAGTGCTCCTGCCTGGCCATCCATCCCTTCTATTTGCAGTGGGTAGCACATACTTGGGTGCACCCAGGTTACATATAAATACTCTTAGTGAGCAGAGCAATTATATTTATCCACTCTCACAGACATGTTTGCCTCAAATTATTCATACTGGATTCGAAGACACTAAACATCACCAATATTCTCTAATGTAGGGTTCGGTGGTGTGAGATCAAGTGCTGAAATAGTGACATACAAATGAAAGGTCGGAAACAGGGACATATTGAAGACGAGGCATTAACTCCAGTTCTAAAGCATTAGTTTAGAGATAATGTACATTTTTCTCTGTCTATGCAGCTTTTTACCTGATCAAAAAGATAAACACAGATTGCAAGATAGGTAGAGAGAATAGTCTAAAACTTGGCATCACGAATAATTCCTAACATAGTTCCGAAGAATTTTAAAACAGCACATTAGTGACTACAGTCTGAGAGTGGCCTCACTCCAGCCTAACTTTAGTAGGCTCCTCTTTGTTATTTGCTCTTTTACACAGCATTTTATATACAACTATCAGCATGCATCTTTCATGCAAAAATGTCATATGCATGTATAAATTCAGGGATTTGGAAGCTCAAAAACATAGTTGCCACATACAAATGCACACATACTCAAATATTCTATATAATCTTCATTTGAAGCCATAGCTTCCAATAAAATTATTTCTGCATGCAGTTTTAAATAAACGGTAGCTCATAAATATTATGAACATTTTCCATTAAATGTAATTATTTCCCTCTGTGGTTTGCTTGGTGAATGTGTGGCCACTAAACTGAGTAAACTTTGAGTAAATAGGTTATGGCCAAGTTACTGCTCATGAACTAAAACAGTTCTAATCAAAGGCAGCTCATAAGCAAAGTTACATGATGAAAATATTATATCACCACATACATATTATACATACCTAATATTCTCTAATTCTTTCACACACAAACCAAATAGGAGAAAATTTTTAAAAAGCAAAATCTAGACTACATTTTCAAATCCTCCAAAAGTTAAGAAAAGCAGGAAAAAGAGAGAGAGACAGAGAGAAGTGAAAGGATTTATCTGGAAGAAAAAATATCATACAAATCTCTGTGGACTGTCAGACTTTTTAGGATTTATTATCCGGATCTGACTCCTGCCATAGGGACGGGATAAAACACAAGAAAAATGGAGTGGGGAAAAAGAGTACATTATGATGTAATGTGTTATAAACATTGTGTTATTTTTTTGCAAAATTCTTTAAACCAGTGGTGTACACACTTTTGGCCTTGCAGGCCAGATGAATGGTGTGGGGCTGGTCTGCAGGCCAAATCAAGTCCTGCACTGTCCTCGTGCACTGGAATAGGGCTCCAGTGCTCTGTGCTGTCTCCACCCAGTTGGGATTGGGCTCCAGATCAGGCCCCATGCTGCCCTGCATGTGCAATCTAGTGAGCAGAGCCATGGCTCATGGGGCTCCCCACAAGATCCATGAGGAACCCACAGGGAGATGACACAGCTCCAGGGATCAGATCTGGCCTGCAGGCTGTGGGATGAGCATCCCTGCTCTAGACTAAGTCTTTCTGATAAAAGATACCATATAAATAATGGGACTATTATTATCAACAAATTTCTTATTACCAAATGTTCTTTAAACCAGTTCTCTGGACAGTATATTTTAGTAAATCAATTCAGTTCACTTACAACAAACTGTTGGATCTTCATCACTTCCATCAGAGCAGTCCAAATGATAATCACAGGCTGCTTCACTGGCAAGACATTGGCCATTGGCACAGATGAACTTCCCTGAAGAGCAGAGCCCTGGTGATTGTGGCCTTGCAGAGTCTGAGAACTGGAGATTATCCAGACAGATAAAACCTGTCCTGCTATGGATAGTTCCTTCAAATGCAAGCTGTGAGAATTGTTATTGTAAAATATTAGCATAAACCAACTAACTGAAAAAGAAAAATGTGGGTTTTTTTCATAAAATATTAAAAAGCTATTTCACAAGTAACTAGGTAGGTTTCTATTATAAGATCCTAATTTCGTCTGCTTAAAACTTTGCTAAAGAAACTGTTTTGTCTGGAAAATCCTGGGCTTAGGCTGACTGATTTGAACGTTTCAGCCAATATGTTTCATCTGTTTCCACGAATGAAGGTAAGAAAAAATATGGGGTTTTGCCTGTGCACAAAATATATTTACTTTACTTTGAAGCTACAGTGCCACCCTGATTTTGAGAAAGGATTTAAAATTTAGTTTGGGGGTCATGCAGGTAAAGGGGATGTGCATTTTCCTTTCCCGGTGAAATTTTGGCCTAATCTGCCAAAGTTATAAACTTAAAAAACCCCAACCCAAATCCCATCCCCACCCCTAAGAAAACAAATCAAAACAAAACCAAAAACAAACAAAAACCTCCCGGCTCACTGTACAGAGAGGCATGTCAGATTTTGGCATCTCTGTTCCCTGAAGAGTCTGTCAGTGCTGCATGATTCATCCCCTCACACCACCTGCTTGTTGAAAGGGCAGAGCATGTTCTATCCCAGGACTTAAACAAAACTTGTGTGGCCCTATAGGCCACCCTGGTGCTGGATTCTAGAACACAGTCACATATATCAGTCCATTAAAGTCATATATATTAGATCAGAACCAGGTTCCAATCCTTTTTACTGGTTTATGTGTAATTTCTGTCCCTAACCCCTGAGAACATGAAACTGGGCTAAGGAATGAATCTCAGCTTTCCTTTACTATTTAATAAATAGCTACGAAATATGTCCTCCTCTTCTATTAGCAAGAGGTGGACATGCAAAATGAAACCTGCTACTGCATTAGTTGAAGTGGTAGAGGCCTATGCTGAAATAACGTGTAATCAATTAAAAGATGAATCACCCCATGAGCAAAAACTAACCAAATTATGGTTACACAAGGAATTCTGAGATTTCCAAACTTTTGAGGAAAGCTCAACATTTGCAGGGTTTTTGTTTGTTTGGTTTTGTTTGTTTGTTTTTTTGTCCGAGGGAAAGGCGAGAGAGGGGGAGAAGGCGAGCAAATGCTATAGAGAATAAGTCTCACATCACGATCTTCATTCATCTTTATACTAGCTTTGCTATGTTACAGATGTTTATTTCCATACAATTCATGTGATATATCCATGTAATTAATCACTGAAATTTATTCATTTTAATTCAGCAAAAGAACTTTCAAATTCTACATTGGTCCAAGTCTGTCTTTCGCCTCAGCTTTGGTTGTGTTGTTTGTTTTTTTTAATTGACAAAGCACACACATACCTTATGTACAAAATTACCAGAAAACAAATATTTGTACATCAAATTTCATCGAGAGATGAAATAATTCATTTAAAAACTAATGACTGAAAAATTCTTCTTTGTAGCAAAAGACTCAAAAACACTATCTCCTGTCACTGATGCCAATACATATCATTCCACTAAAGTCACATGCATCATTCATATCATTCCACCAAGTTTCCCTTATGTTAAAATTCGCTATGCAATATGTGAGAGGAGAGCCATGTCCAAGGTGACTAATGTATGGGGATACAGCTTTTCTGGTAAATAAAGCTGGAGGCTGCAAGGTATGAATAGCTAGACTGTTTTTGAGGAACTATCCTTAAGTGCCTCAACTGCAACAATCAATCAAAAAGCAGAGAGTCATTCATAATAAACATGGCTTCAGTAAGTACCTACATTTCCTACAAAGCCTTATAAAAATCATTAAGGTTACATATTTTCAAACAACCCGCTCATGCCTTTTTCATGCATACCTTTATCTTTTTCAGATCTGCTGGTACCTGCACATCAGCTCTGACCCATTCCTTGTTAGTTGATGTATGAGTCTCCCACAGCACTTGTTCCTCCTGTCAGATGTAGAATAAAATGTTACAAAGCAATTGTTGAACTCTCTATAAATTATCTGAGTTAATTTTGTCTTTAAACTCTTTCTGCCATGACCTGGACACCCCCTCCTCCTTATTCCTTTATGTGACGAAATATAACTGCACCTATTCATTGCAATCTTTACATTACTTTTACAGTGTGGACTCCAGGGGAGACAGGGAAGGGGAAGGTAAGATATATATTTACTGTGATTAAACTGGTTAATTACCTAATTACCAAGAGGTAACTTGGTAGCAGTAAAATGAATTGGTATGTATGCAAATTACCTTTGTTTCTGCTGGAATTTCCCAGAACATAGTGAGATGTTTCTAAAAAGTATTATGGGCCTGATTCTGCTCTAATTGAAATCAAGGACAAAAAAATCCCATCAACAGTAGCGACAGCAGGACTGGGTCCCTCTGCATTAGGGCATTTAACAACTAGCAAAATGAAAGATTATCGAAAGACTGTACTGAAAACTGAGGTCCCTTTCTATACAGAGGACAACTAAGATTTGGGAAGGTAACAGAGAGAGCTCTCCCCTGCCACACCTCGGCAATGTGCTCAAGTGACCAGTTTCCATTCCCACTTTGCTGAGAATGACAACTGAAATCTTCATTGTGCTTAGACATTATGCAAGCTATCCTGAAAACAGTCTCAGGATCAGTCTGCTGCTAATTGCAAGCATAACTGAAAACTAAAGAGTCCAGTTAAACAAAAGAAAAGCACGAAGTGAAATTTGCCAAAATAAAGGGAAAAAAAAAATCAGTCTGAGGGTTGAGCAGAAGTAACAGAATGGAAAATACATGAATAACATGTTTTACCTCCTTATAGATCCTCATCTGGAATCCTGAGTATGGTATTGGTTATTCCATCACCAGAAAGGATATTGCAGAGTTGTTGGAGGTTTAAAGGAGGATATACAGAATATTTGAGACATGAGAAAGCTCTCATATGAAAAGAATTAATCTGTTTACCTTAGAGATGAGATGAATAAAAGAGGCTATGCTAGAAGTATGTGAAATGAATGGTATGCACAGAAGGTCAGCTAGTAACTTCTCCAAATATTATAAAACAAGAGAAGGGGATTTTTTTGGATTAGATGTCCATAAAGTCTGATCCAGTATGGCAGTCCCTATTTTCTCAAGTGTTTGGGTTAGTTTTTTTATACCCTTGGATTCGCATGCCAGCTGGAAACCAGTGAATTATTATTTAACCCCTTGAGCCAAATGTATTTTATCACAACATTGAAAAGCTAAATACAGTGCATTCTTCATTAAACTCTGAGGCAAAACATCAGTCTGGAAAACTCAAGATGGAATGAAGCCAAAACCTCACTTCTGAATTCTGTGGGAAGTGAGGTCTTGTATTTGGTGGTTCATATCTAATATACAATATACATAATCTTAGAAATAATAGCAAGTAGTGAGTTGCAACACTGGCATAAAATGTATGTACTTCTCTTCTTGTTCACATCTTAGTAGGTTTGAAAAAATGTTTCCCATCATTTGGAAATGGCCAGTCTTGCACATGCACAGCTACTGTAGTATCATTCTGCAAAATAATGCATGCTTCAAAATGTACACAAAAATGGTATTTGGCCACAATAGCCAGCTACATGATGCAAATGATGAATATGTACTGTGACCCATACAGCACAGCAGGCAACAACAGGCTGTAATTTCAATTACTGCAGTGACAAGCATTTGGCTTTCTGAAAAATTAGGGTAATTGTATCTAATGTTTTCTGTAAATTTTGTGTTACTCAGAAGTTCAGTTTGCTTGATTGGACTCATCTGGCAATAAAATCCTTTTGTCATCTCACAGACTTCTTTAGGCAGCAATCTCCTATGATCCTCCTTCTTCCCAGTTTATATTAATTAAACAAGATACACTGGAAGACACTATATTGTTCTGTACGTTTGCCAGCATGCAGCACTATCACAGCTTCTGCTTTTATTACAAATACCTTGAATATATCAATTTAGTTATAATTAAAGACTGGTCCATACAACAGATCTTACCATTAGCTTTTATAATATTCCTTCTAATGGTCCAATACTTCTATATCTTTCAAGACTAGAATTCATTTATCTGCAGCTGATTGGGAACCTGTACTATTTTTGCCTGGCTTAATCCTTCTTCCTGTAACACATTCTTTTTCTTTTGCTCCTCTCCCCAGTCTCCCCTAAGAATGTCCCGTGTGTCCTTTTTCCAGCAACTCCTTGCTCTGGATTTATCATAGCAATGTAGGATTGGATGGTGGCTGAAATTGCTGTTGCTTAACCTTCATAGTGCTGTACTAGTCTTATCCATAGAAAAATGTAGCAGAGAGGTACATGGGGGCACTACTTATATTACCCGTATTGTGCTGCACTTCCTTCCAGGAGTAATTTCTATAAATGAAAGTGACCCAAACTAGTAGGATGCCCATTTTTCTTTTCTTCCAATGCTTTTGAGACATTCCAGCAGTTGGAAGACATAAACCATAACTTAAACTATTTCTTTCCAACTTAATTTATAAAACTAAAAAACATTTCTTATTTCTGACACTTCTTTACAGGTGCATTCAGAAATACTACTGTCTGACTGCAATTACCATTTTTTTCTGCTTCTTTCATCTCAGTGAATAATTTGCAACAAATGGTTGTTTTTCCCCATAATAACTAATAGATCACCTTGCCCTGCTCCTGCAGGGGAATGCTAATTTTACTGAACATTTAATGTCTGTGAATACAAAGAGGACTCTACATATAAATTTAGAAGATATCTTCTACTGTCTTCTCACTGACTGTTTGTTAGACCTTATTAAAAATCAAAATGAGATACAAGAGAAAGAAGAAGTAAAGTAATGGGTAAGGTGAACAAATAACAGGTGATCCAGAAAAGCCTGAAATGCATGGGTTTTTTGCTTCAGAATTCACAAAAAAGATTAATTATGCACAGAGTCAATACAATATTATCAGAAGGAGGGATGGGAACACAAAGGGGAAAAAGGAAATAACAGGTAAGAGATAGTGACCAACTATGCTGGTATCTAGAGTCCCTAAAACAGAACTTTTGTCACCGATTTGGAAAACTGGGCTTCAATTGGCTGACTTCAACACACTTCCCCAGAGTAAAAAGAAGCTTTCTGCTGTATCAGCAGATGAAGCACGATGCTGCTTGGTACTGGAGACCATGATTGCACCATTTCTGGTTTAGGTAATATTCCTGGCCCACCTCCTGATTTAGAAGCAGTATATCTGTGTTCATGCTGACTTGCTCCTGGGCTATTTATCTTTTTTCTCAAGAAAGCCGATTAGCTCCCCTGCAGCACCACATTAAGGCAGTCACACGAGACAGATGCAGAAGTGGTGTTGAATACTTCTGGCCTGTGGAGTGTCTAGGTTCCAAATAGGTTGCCAATGGATATTTAGATGTGTTGATAGATTCAAATCAGCCAGGTTTGATACAATCTTTTCTGGAGTACCTAAAACTAGCCCAAACCATCTCTGAACCACTGGGGATTATTTTCAAGAACTAAAAGGAGGACAGGGGAGATCCTAGAGAACTAGGCTCAGAGAAGGGCAGACATTACATCTACTTTAACAAAGAAAAAGGAGGAAGAGAAGGCGGAGACCTGGGAATTATAGACTGATCAGCATACATTCTAAATTAAGGAAGATACTGGAGCTACCTCTTAAACAACACATTTGTAAACACCTACATTACAATAAGGTGACAACAAACAGCCAATATGGGTTTTTTAGTAACAAATAATTTCTAATTAATTTCTTCATTAGGGTACCGGCTTAGTGAATGGGGGAAGCAGTAAATTTGACTAATCTCAACTTCCATAAGGTTTCTGACAACGTTTCACATGACATTGTCATAACCAAACTGAAGAAAAATAGCCTAGATTAAATTACTATAACATGGATATACAACTGAAAGAAAACTATACTGAAATGGTAGTTATCAATATTTTCTGTCAAATTGGTTGTATTAAGAGGGATTTCACAAAGGACTGTCCCTGGTCTGATACAATTCAATATTTTCATAAACAACTTGGCTGATGGAAGAGAGATATACTTATAAAAAATGTGGATGACACCAAGCTGGGAAGGAATGCATGCACTTCAGAGGGCAGGATTAGAATTCAAAATCATCTTAAAAGATTGTAGAAATGGTTTGAAATCCATACAATAAAATTCAATAAAGTACTACACATAGGAAGCAAAAATCAAGTGCACAAATATAAACTTAGGCATAACTGACTAAGCTGCAGTCCTAAAGGAAAAAATATAGGGGTCAGAGTGGGCTGCAAGCTATTGTAGAGGCAAAAATATGATGCTGTCATTGCAAAAAAACCCAAATGTCACTCTAAGTGAAATCCAGAAGAGGATCATGCAAGACATGAGACATAATTATTCTACTATACTTGTGATGGCAAGACTTCAGTGGTAGTACTATGTTTAATATGGGCACCACACTTTAAAGTGCAAACAGGCATTCGTGGGACCCAGTTTATGTGCTGCATACTAAATACATATGCAGCATCTTCAATTTCCACTCAATTCTCCTAATTTTCATAGGGCAAAGACTTCATCTTTTATTTCTGGGGATAAAATTCCTACAATGAGAACTTATGGTGTTGGGGGGAAGATTTCTAGGTTCTTTTCCTGACCTGGTTGGTTTTTGTGTGATCAGTAAAAGTAAAGCAGTTGGGCCAGATCCCAATAGGCTTTTAGGCACCTAAAAGTGATTCGATGGAATATAGCTGCCTAGAGTCACCAGAATCAATCACAACTGACCACTCTTTAGCCTAGAATCACTAGGTATCTTCATTTTGGCCTGAAAAGTTATCCAGGCCCCCTTGTTATTCCTACAGGAACTTGCCTGAAATTTCACATCAAACAAGAGTCATCAGATGAGATCTATTTTCAGCCTCTGGGCCATATTGAAAATGATTCAGAGACCACAGGTTCCACTTTCCATTTCAAACATATCAAGTCCGCAAGCCTCATTTCTCCTCTTACGCTGTTACTAAAAACTGGGTAACACTTTCCCCATCACTTCTGAAGAAAAATATAATTTAGCAGGTCATTTCGAATGTTGCTCCATAGTTCAGCAGCTCTATTACTTTCTGCACCTAGAGCTTTTAACATTTTCTAATGGACCTGCAGCTCAATTTATGGCCAACTTTGAAGATACACACTTTTTCCATTTTAAGCTTAATGGCTGAATAGCAAGAGGTACAAGAGCTGGAAAGCCTTCTCTACCAGCTTTAGATTAAAAACAAATATTAAATGTGAGGCAGGGAGCTTCCAAACTGAAGCTGATATATTTGAAGGGGTCTTTATGCAAAGTTTTGCACTGTGATTATTGCTCTTGGCATCTCCAACTAAACTCATATACAGAAATTACATTTTGACTGTAAGAAGAGTGCAGTAATTACAACGTCAATAGGATAAGATACATTGTGTAAAAAGAGCATGACAAATTGATATGGGAAGTATCAAGAAAGTTACTTTGATGCATATCAATTAACTTATATCAATTAATTAGATTAATTTCCCTATGTTCTGAGAATTCAGTGTTTCCTCCTGCTATCCACATCCCCCTACCCCTTTAACTGGAAAGAAAAGAAGGCATATTAAACTGCTTGAAATAACCAACCTTCAATCCAGTAGAACACTGAAACATGCATAATTTTAAGCACATGAGTAGATTTCACTGACGTCAAGATCTCCTGTTGAGTTTTTCACAGACAGTGTTATCAAAATGAACACAAATGGGAACAGGGAACCACAGCATCTGGCATCTAGTGTTACCAGAAAGAGGTTTCTCCAAGTTCTGGTCAGGAACACCAAATGCCTAGAGTTCCAGGATTCAACACTGAAAACGATAATTATTGTAATTCCTATTTGACAGATGGGCATATACCCAAGACTCCACAACTGATTAGAGGTGGAGCTAGGATTAATATCCAGCAGTTTGTGCTATCAATTCCAAAACCACTAAACAATACTGTCCCTGTGGGCTAGGTACAGAAAATCAAAGAGCCTGAGGCTGAATCAATTCAGTTTTTGCATGTTAATCTAAAATGCACACATTAAATAAAAACAGAAGTGAACGGACATTTACATTTGATTCAGGAAATGCAACCATATACCTGCAGCGGCTCAGGCCAAAAGCCAGGGGGAGCTAAAGCATGGCTCTGTGTTCACTTTCTCCTTGAGCTGCCCCCCAGGTCTCTGGAATTTGCAGTCTAGAATGGCAATAGCAGGACTCTGCAGGGTTGTTCATCACTTTCTCTTCCTGCTTTCAGGTGCCTCTGGGATTTGTAGTCCACAGTTGCAGCCAGCAGTAAGTTTGAGGAGGGGAAAGGGCATTTAACTCCCCTTCCTGCCCCCAGACTCCAGATGGGGTTTTCCTGGAGGGTGGAGCAGTCCCCCTCCCACCCTGCAGACTGGACTGCATCCTGCCCCTGCAGACTGGGCTGCATCCCCAGCCGGGCTTTTTCCCCCACCCCCCTTGTCAGCCAGCCCTCACTGCCCCAGCTAGGGAACAGAAGGGTGGGGCCAGCCCTGCTCTCTGGAGCAGAGAGCACAGCCTAGCCCCGGGCTGCAAAGCATGCTGGGGGACTGTGATTTAACTTGAACCAGGAAGATGTCTGGGACAGAAGTGTCCTAAACTGGTTTGACCCAAGTCAGTTAAGTCTGATAGTACATTCAACCAGGTTTATCTTAAACCAGTTTCAGCCATTTTGAAACTGGTTTATTTGCATTGAACTTCTATTCTGTTACAGGTTTAAACCAGTTTCTGATCACTTAAACCAATTTGTGTGTAACTTCTGTCCCTAGCCCTAAAGTATTTGATGTCTAAGCATAGCAAATTAAAGGTAGTTACCTCATGTGTCTGTGCATGAATGCATGGAGCTTGGGAAATAAGCAGGAAGAACTGGAAGTCCTTGCACAGTCATAGAACTATGATGCAGTTGGAATAACAGAGACTTAGCAGAATAGCTTACATGACTGGAGCACTGTCATCGATGGGTATAAACTGCTCACAAAGGACAGGCAAGGGAGAAGAGGAAAACAGGAGTTGCATTTTATGTAAAAGAGCTCCATGATTGCTCAGAGCTCCAGTATGGAGACAGACCTATTGGAAGTCTCTGGGTTAGGGTCAGAGGGGAGAGAAACAAGGGTGATATCATAGTGGGTGTCTGCTATAGACCACCAGACCAGGAGGATAAGGTGGATAAGGCTTTCTTCAAACAGCTAGCAGAAGTTTCCAAATCACAGGCCCCAGTTCTCATGACCATGAGATGACTGAGTGCAGGCTTCTGAGGAACAAAAGGAAGGAGAGCAGCAGAGTAAGAACCTTCACTGCACTTCAGAAAAACAGACTTTGACTCTATCAAGGAACTGATAGGCAGGAACCCTTGGGAGCCCAGGCTGACGGAGAAAGAAGAGTTGGTTGTTGTCATGACCCAAAAGGCATGATTGTGTGTGTGTGCTTCGGCATCAGAATTATCCACGTTAAGTTGCAGAGCATTGCACGGGAGTTTCCTGTAGCAAGAGGAAACCCCAGTGCAGGGACGTTTCCACTTCTTGTAAGCTTCCTTTTTGTGTTTTAGCTCACTGAAGAGTTCCCTGCTAAGCCAAGCTGGCCTTCTGCCACACTTGCTAGTCTTCCTGTGCATTGGGATTGTTTGTTTTGGGTCCTCAGTAAGGCTTCTTTAAAATACAACTGTGCGGGCCGGGAGCGCCTCGAGCCCTTTTTCGCGCTGCACGCGGGCTGTGGCCAGCAGCCCGGGCACGCGGGGGCGGAGAAGGAAGGCCTTCGCTCTGGAATTAGGCACGGACGCGTATCGGTAGTTTAAAAGATTGTTTTAGCCCCAAGTGCCCACTGCCTTCTGCTGCTGCTGACAATGGATGCTATGCACCATGGGGGGGAGGGGGAGTGTATGAAGGGTCCCCTCACCCTCCACCCTCCCTCACATCCCACAAATGCCACACACACGCACCCTGCCTCCACAACCTCCCCATATATGTCCCTCCAACATACCCTATTGCCCCCCATACACGCAGCTACACCCCCTCACAAGGCCTCTCTACACACACACACACACACCCCACTGTACACATCCATGCACCCCCAACCACACCCCATGCACCCGCACACACAATATACAAAAGTAAGACATGTTTAGTTATGCAATCATCTCTATATACAAATACATATCATGACAAAATATTTTTGTAATAAAATTTAAATATGTTATAGTAGGTGTTTGACTTCTAGTCTATGATATGATTGCTTTCTGGTTCCAAGATGATACCCACCCTCCCCTCCCAAAAGGAGTACTTCCAAGGGGGACAGATGCAAGAGGGTAAGGGGAGGGACTTCCGGTGCCAAAGGTCAGGGGTTCAGGGTGGGACTTCTGATCCCAAGATGGTGACCAGGGGGAAGAGCAAATGTCAAGGGATAGGGCTACCCTTGTGGCCCTTGACAGTTCACCAAAACTTATTAAGCAGCCCTCCAGCCAAAATAATTGCCCACCCCTATCCTAGAGTCAGTCCCCAACAAAGCAGAGTAGCAAGTGCTACTAAACAGGCTTCCTTCCTTTTTGACTGGCAACAGCTGAACTTTCATTTCCTTACTGTCTGAAAATTAATGTAAGTTTATCCTTACCTTATTAATATACAGTACTACTTTGAGAATGCTGCTGTCTGCCATGGAGTAATAAAACTGAAGATAGCAATTCTTGCCAAAGCAATGACACATGGAGCTGTTAAAATAAACTATTTTGTATAATGTGTTATCATTAGCTCCTACCCACATGTAATGGCCTGAAAAAGAAAAGAAAACAGTGAACTATTTCACAAAACATCTTCCCCATAGTCTTTAAAAATAAGGATTACAGTATTCCTATAATTAAAAAGAAAACAAACTATTTCAATAGGAGCGGATTGCCTTGTTCTAAAGTGATACAATGATTCAAATTGTGAGATATCTGACATTTTCTCATTTAAAAAGTTATTATTGTTTGGGCCATACAATGACTTTAACAAGCAAACATTTGCATGAGCTGATGTTATTATTCAAGTTGCAGCAAGAGCAGTTTAGATTAGATATTAGCAAAAACTCTCTCACTAGGAAGGTAGTAAAGCATTGGGACAGATTACCCAGAGAGATTATGGAATCTCCATCCTTGGAGGATGTGTTCTGAGCAGTCCTGTTCTGAGCAGAGGGTTGGACTAGATGACCACCCCAAATGGAAGAAGAGTCTGCTACAGGGATGTCAGTACTCTGAAACCTCATGACAACAACAGGGGATGGAAAAGTGGGAGTGGCAGAAACAGCGTATCACAAACCAAATCAACAATCCAGTGCCACCCACCCCTCACAGAAACACATGTCCAAGCTGTAGCAGAGTCTGTTGATCCCAGATAGGCCTCATCAGCCATCTTCAGAAATACAGATAAGACAATCCTGGAAGACAATTGTTCACAACTGCAAGAGACTGCTGAAGAAGGAGGACTGAATGACCCCTTGAGGTCCCATCCAACCTAATTTTCTATGATTTGCTGATTAAAATCTCTAATAATAGACTGAAGATAAAAGTCTCAAATTGTGAATTGTTCCACATTTGGTTAACTGTCTAAAATTTTCAGTCATTCCATAACTAATCTTTTTGCTTTCTTCTGGAGAGAGAATGAGGGAGAGAGAAAGAGAGAGGTCTGCCTTCCTACTGAAAACACCAGGAGATACAAGAGCTCTATAGCTCTACACAAGGTCTAAAGCTCTGAGCTAAGGTGTCTGCAGCACATTGCCTTTCCATCTAAAACAGGAATGTAATTTGGGCTCTTCTTGACCTACTGACCTCATAAAAGCATTTCTACAGAGGACTAAAAGAATATCTTATATACTCAATGGTTTCTTTTATCTATCAGAAATAAAAACACTAAACATATCATTCTTCATCTAATATAGCTTTTTTTTTCTTCTCATGAGTTATATGATATTTTACTATTTTCTTAAGCTGCTACTTAAGATATTTAATGGCATCCTTGTTTGTTTTCAAGTTTAATGTCTCTCCTTTCACCTTCTGTAAATATTTTGCTTTCAAATTTAGACCTTGTTTTTGGAACATTGTTGCAAACTGCAAAAGAAAAGAAAGGTAAAGAAGCATTTCCTGGAACTGGGTAGCTGTAGATTTTGTGAAAAGGCCTCTCTTCTTGTTACTGTTTTATTACGCATTGTATTCAGGCTTCCATACTGTAATACAATGCTTGCCATCTCTGTTCACACTGTGGGATCTAACCTTGATAAAACAAGGAAATATTATATAAATATTCCAGGATGCCACTTTAATAGAATAACAAAGCATGCATATTTTAAAGTCTGTTAATTTCTGGTAGAGTTTCTTGCACCTATTCCTAAACCAAAGCTAGAACCCCTATAAGCTGGTAACATCACAACAGTATTGCTAGAAAAATAGCATTAAACTTCTAATGCCTCGTTGATTTTAACTTCCTCTTTTCTGAAAACCATTCATTGTATATGCAGTATTTTTTTGTCATTTAACATAAAAGTGACTCTTACGGACTGTTAGTGTTTAATTTAAACACATGAAAACCAGCACATTATTAGTATCATAATAGCGAGGGTCAGGAGGGACCTGAACAGATCATCTAGCCTGACCCCCTGCCACAGGCAGGAATGAATGCTGGGGTCACAAAACCCCAGACAGGGGATCATCCAACCTCCTCTTGACTTTGCCCAAGGTAGGGGCGAGGACCACTTCCCTGGGAAGTTGGTTCCAGATTTTGGCCACCCTAACTGTGTAAAATACTGCCTTCTGATCTCTAACCTAAACCTATTCTCCATCAGCTTATTACCATTGTTCCTTGTCACCCCAGGTGGTGCTGGGAGAAAAGGGCTCTACCTATTTGTTGTTGTACCAAACTCTCTTTAAATAAACTTGATTTTTTTTTTTTTTTGCCTGTTGATTAAGAAAAATCATTCTCCTACAGTCTAATGCAAATACTGCAGTCTTTATTTATTTTAGTTTGATATGATGGTGCTGAAAGCAAACAAACTGGACAAAAGTGCTCATGCATTTCAGGAAAATAAACAAGCATTCACAGAAAATTATTGTAAAAAATAAGTTCTTAAAAACACACACAATTTTTTTTAGGCTCAAGAGAATAATTATCCCTCAGGGAATGGCAGCTGGAAGTAAATGTGTTAACCAATAAGATACATCATGAATTTATTGAATTAATAGTTCGTTAAAATTATTCATCGTAATAGGAATGCGTGAGGATATAAAAAGAGCAAAACTTTGGAGTAAGCAGCTGGAAATCTTCCCTCCTAGAAGTTTTTCCATTTATTCTCTCCCCTCTTACAAACCATCACGATCATATCTGGTAAATGTGGAGGACCAACTACTCTACTACCACCATACATTTCTTCCATTAAAATAAAAGACAAAAACTTAAAATTGGTAAATGCTGTGTATTCACATCTTTAAAATACAATTGTGGATTATTAAAATGAACCAGGTTAGAGGGCATAGTTTCTATATAAAATATAAACTAATTGAAATAAATGTAAAATCCTTAAGCCTACATGACCATGTCTCCATATCAGTCTGCTTAAATAACTCTTCATGAAGTTTTAAATATATTGTCTTAGAATAAGTCTTGCTTGACTTCCAGACCAGTCTCACTTTTATGGAGTTTTCACATGGAGTTCTCTGAAGTGGGAAGATAAGGGGGGAAGAGAGGGTCGAGGCATTTCTGAATGGTGGATCTTTTTGTTAAATTTGAAAATACTGAAGATGAACTGTTTTGAAGTCTCCACCGGGTAGAATCTGGAAGTTTCTGCTAAGCTCAAAGCTTTTGAGCCAAATTATGCATACTGTTCTTAATTTATGTAATGATTCTGTTTTGTGCTTCACACTGCCGTTCTACTGCAGATGAATGTTTTCAAAAAATGTTTTCAGGAAGATCCACTTAGGTTTAAGTTTCAGTGGTGCCACAGGTAAAGGAGTCCTTAACCTTATTCCAGTCATAAGTTTTGTTGGAGATGTTATAGATCCAGGCAGTATTGACAAATACACTCGTGTTATACATGGGTCTGATGATTTTTACAGAAATAAGTTTGCACTGCTTTGTCAACCTCCCAATTGCTCTGGGAGTTAAGTGGACTATTAATACAATGTTGAAAAAAATTCTATTAAAAACGGTAAATATGTTTCAAATGCAGACTAAAACTAATCATGGTAAATGAGGACTTCAAGAGCTACATGCCATGCCCATGTTGACTTTAGTTTTCGGATGACATATGCTAGTGAGGCCTATGGAAGTATAGCCAAGTCAATATATCCAGAAAAGTAATCAACTACAATAACAAATGTGTGTCCTTTCCAGAAAAACAAAATGATTGCTATTTGCTGCCAAGATCTGTCAGATAGCATTGTAGAGATTAATGGTTCAAGCAAGTCTTTTTTTTCCCTTGTCACATTCCTCATAGTTTTCTGCTAAGATAAGAATTGGCCTACTTTGACTGGGCCACCATAGAGATTGTTCTGTTTATGATCTGCACTATTTTATACATTAGTGTCCTCATAGATTTTGGAGAACTTCTGTCTGGCACCAGAGGGCTAAAAATTCATCTTGACATAATAAGGCAATATGAAGGTCATTTTAGCATGGCAGTAGGCCTGCTGAAAGTTGACTCCTTTAACACCACCTACATTAGTATCATTGAATACATTTCAAACAAGTCTCACCCTCTTCTATTTTATAAATAGAAATCAAAATATTCCAATTTCTAATTTGCTGAAGTCAATTAGCAGATGCTGAAATTGCCACTAGGAGAAGGTCAATGTAGACTCTTAAGTCTTTTCTCTAGTCTTCTACTCAATGGCTGCTTAATCAGGACTCTGGATAATGGTCTCCTTCTATGATCACTTGATCTAAAATTTCATTAGTCATAATTAAAGTCCTTGATTCTGAGGCAGAATGTCAAGCAGCGGTTTTGAATGTGATATTGCCAGTAAGTGATCTATTTCTATTTAAAATCCAAACCAAAAAAAAAAATTATTAAAAAACCCAGTTGACAGCTGGACTTCATTTTTCCACCTAAAAATACTGTTGCTACATTCCTTTGGGGCTTCTAGAAGTGTTTTGTTTCAGCAGATAGAACAGTTAGGTTGTTTTATTTTATTAAATGTGGCCCAGATCCACATATTGTGTATATTTAAGAGATATCTTAAGGGTTTTTGATAAGCTAATATTGACAACGATTTCTCAAAATAGTGCCATATCCAGAAATCTTCTTACAGCTGGAATGATCTAAGGTTGGGGAAAAGTAAGTAACTGCCTCCAATTTGAATTTCATTGAACTTGCTGTTTATTAATTATAGGTCTCATATTTTTTACCTGCTCCATTCCAAATATGTGTCTTGCTTAAACGGAGGCCAACTTGTTGAAAGTTTCTCAGAATCTTAGAGCAGCTTATCACATTCATTTTTATCTCTATTGTAAACCTACTTATCCTCTATATATCAAAAGACAGCAGGGGCATGTCTATACCAATGTTTCTAAACCCATGGGTTGTGACCCAAAAGTGGGTCACAAGAATATATGAAAGGGTTGCAAACAAACTTTAAAATGGATTCTCCTTCAAGGAAGAAAAACTTGGGACAGTGGTTTTTCTCTTGCAGGCTGGGCTGCAGAGTTCCAGCCTGCAAGGAACTGCTTGGGCCCCCTCCTGCCCCCCGCTGCCCCACACACTGTGAGGATGGGGCCTGGGGGTGCAGGGTAGCAGGTCAGGAATG